TTACAGAATTCCATATGCAGGGGGGGGGGGGGGGATGGGGCTTGTCCTCTTCGAAAAGCTTTGTCACATGCGGAACGCCATAAAAATTTGATTTCCTTGCGAACTTGGGCGTTCATCGGAAACAGAAACATGATATAGTTGAAATTATCGAGCAATCGTCGCATGATTCATCAACACACACCAAAGCCTCCAACTAGACTACACTGCCATTTTGTCACGACTTCTGACAACGATCGCACCGTTTTTCAAGGAATACGATTATTTCAATTGAGACCTTCTTTCCAGGACGATGATGGCCAACATGCCCATCATCTTCGTGCTGTTCTCGCTGTCCTGGGTGGTGGGAATGGTGATCTTCTCCAACTACGCCGACTGCGACCCGCTGACTCTCGGCTACATCTCCAAATTCGACGAGATCGTGCCATTCTACGTGGAGGACAAGTTTATGAACATGCCGGGTCTTCTGGGGCTAGTTATGGCAACGTTGTTCAACAGTGCGCTGACGTTGGCAGTGTCGAACCTGAACTCCCTCGCCACGGTGACCTTCGAGGACTTCCTGGGCCAGATACCGTCGCTGAGGAACCTGAAGGACCACCAGCAGCTGCACTTCATCAAGGTGATCAGCGTGATCTATGGAATTTTGATAGTGGGCATCAGTTTCCTGGTAGCAATGCTGTCCGGCGTGATCGAGTCGTCGATGCTGATGACCTCGGCCACCTCCGGCCCACTGCTGGGTGTCTTCTTGCTGGCCATGTTGGTACCTTGCGCCAACTGGAAGGGCGCGGCGGCTGGCATGATCTTCAGCCACATAACGACCCTTTGGATCACATTCGGACACTTGACGGTGAGCAACACGGTCGAGACGCTGCCTCTATCAACGGAGAACTGTCACAATGACACGTTCTCCCCGTGGATCACTCAGCCAGGCAACGCGTGGTACACCAGCCCCAGTTTCCTCAACAAAACCGAGAGCTTGGTACCCAACAGCGTGCCCAGTGAACCTACCGGTGCCCTTCATTTTATCTACAGCATCACCTACATGTACTATGCTCTGATCGGCAGCCTGACCACAGTGCTGGTCGGCATAATCGTCAGTCTGATCACCGCCGACTCTCAAGCGGACATGTACGAGGAGCATCTGCTTCATCCGCTAGCAGTGAAGCTCTCGCGCTTCTTCCCAGGAAGAAGAAGACTGTACGCCAGCAGCACCAGGCTGCAGAACGAGCACAACAACATGAACACCACCTCGGCGTCTTCTGTGATCTCCATAACGAACGGAGGCGCGGAGAAGACGTTCCAAGGGACCCTGGACGAGAACGGCAAGCTTCGCATCGACAACGGCTACATCGAGAAGCTGAACGCCTTGAAGACGGTATCCCTGGACGTGACCAACGAGGTCAACAAAGGCACCAGGCTGTGAGCTGGTCGACGGAAGAACACCTTGGCTGTGATTCGCGAAGGTGACTTGGGTGATCAGGTGATTCTGTGCGTAGTCGGCTGTACAAGTTCGTCGGTACCATTGGGATTCGATAATTAGTCCCCCCTTTAACTCTTAGAATGCTCATCATCTCCCCCCGTTTGTCCGAACGTAGCCAGGCCAGATTCTCGAATCGTTAGATTCTGCGTAACTCGCAGGAACTCGGATCGGGTTAGTCACAGTTCACCGTAGAGATCTTTCTTAACTTACAAGGTCGCTTCAGAGGACCGTAGTCGGGCCAGAAAGATTTTGGACAGCGTCGCGCAGGCGCAAGTGTCACGTGAACGCATGGAATAACCACTCCGCGCATTGAAAAGCCACCGGCCCCGCCCACCGGCAGTTCCGGCGACGCCCACTGGCCCCGGAATCGGTCGGCCAGGCGATTCCTGTACTTCTAAGAGAACAGTCCCGATTGGAACCGTTCGAGCACGACACAGGGTAAACGGCAGTACAAAGATAGGCTCGGGAACGTGACATGCGCGCTTGAGCACGACCCATCTTAATTAATCTTACCAGCAGGCGGAGCTTCTAGCAAAAAATACTCGATCGAAACAATTATCCGAACGTTCAGCCAAAGTTAACGATAGTATCGTGTAGTTGTTAGACAGGCATATAGAAGGATCTAGTAATGTTTAGAGAAAAAAAGGTATCGATAGAATAGTGAATGTTCTAGATCGTTTACTGAATACTTAATCAACTATCTATCGTTATGTAAAAATTATAATGACGCTTAAGTAGCACGATGATATAGTAAAATGCTTTTTCGATGCTTCCAGAAAAAACGGATGTTCAAATCCTTCCACGAAGCAGCGTCGAATTTTCGCGTACTGTACTTCGCATGAACGTCGAGCATGTCCGGCTGCGCGGTTAATGTTTCGTTTAGACAGGACGAGTTTGTATCATTGTATTTGCCTGTGTGTCGTGAATCTCCATGCGCTTATGGCACCGAGAGAAATACCCCGGTAGGAAGAAATTGTTCCATAGAACGGTTGAAAAGGGAACGCCCGTAAAGATCCGCAGCGTGATAACGAACTCGATTCGTTTGATCGAATAGATTCCACCAGGGCGGAAGCAGCTCAGTCACTTTTTCCAAGGGTCTTCCTCGCCTAGATGCAGCCAATACGGAAACGATGGCATTTATTGGCGCATCGCGAATGTAACTGTAACTACCCTCGACTCGATTTCAGAGACCCGAGCCCTTTCTTCCTGCTGTTTTTCTCTCTCTCTCTTTCTCTCTCTCTCTCTCTCTCTCTCTCTCTCTCTCTCGGGTCACGAGACTGACGGCCACCTTCACTTCGATCGACGAACTTCGTACGCGGAGCACTTAAGAAAACGTAGTTTCGAGTTCGCGGAACTTTGCCCGACATTTGCGAGCCCTCCCGACGACTTCTTTTTTAGGAAGGCATTACGCTCGCAAATATTGCCATACGGACACACTGTACGTTATACGTACACTCGCGCGTGAAATACTCATTGTTCTAAGCCGTGGCTGGGCCCCGACAGCGTCGAACGATCGCCGGCACGAACGTTAAATTCGCGAGTTCGTTTTATTTTACCCGACTGTCTCGGGTTAAATTGGCGATCGGCTCGCGACGTTCTCGTTCGGTTGTACGTACTTCCGAAGGAATACGCGGGAATCTTCTCGCTCAGAGAATAAGGTTGCTCGCAGCATAAATCTCGGTATTTAAAGTCCGCCGGCGTCGCGAATGATAAATCGAAGAGCGTGGCTGAAAGCAATTCGGTCTCTTTCACGACCCGCGGATTCCATTTTCAAGCGGTACAAGGCCCGTTAAGTAGGTTGACATTTCGACGTCGTTCGGATAACGGAGACGCTGATTCGAGCAGCCAGCGATCCGGCGACATGGTCGGGACCCGGCCCCGGCGTTTGTTAGCGTTGTAATGAAAGTATTGAATCGTGATAGGATTGCGAGGAAGGCCGAGATAAGGACGCGAAGAACTATCGATGCGCCGTGGATCCGCGCGAGCCTCGGATCTGACCTTAAGGTCAGAGTCGCCTCGGAATTAATGATTTTTTGCGTCTGGAACGGAGCGTGTCTGTGCATTGTATGCGTGTGCCTCAAAGTGTCCCCGCCATTGTCGGGGCTCCATTACGATATTAAGTAAGTTTTATACTTCCTAGAGTATAGCGATTATTTTTATAAAGAGTAGCGAATAGCAGCGGCGTTACGAGCTAGAATTACGAACGATCTGTGAATATTTATTTTGTTCTCCCCTCCCCCCAACCCTTTTGCATACAAATATATCACGTTTTATAAGTGTTGAGTTGAACACCTCGACTTTTCTTCCGCATGATCCCTGCCTCTACGACGATCTCCGAAAATGAATTTGCATGAAAAGCGTACAAGTTATTGTTTATTCACGGGCTGTCAGATACGTTTGAATCACACGCGAATGAAATTCACATAATCCGGAAGAAATAAACACGACAAACTAAAAGATTTAACAACAGATACAGCGGAATTAGTGAAATGGCTCCAGGATGCTTCCGACGAATTCAAGTTTTGAGTTCTTGAATTTCTGTTGCAGCCAACAACGCGAGAAGACTCCGAGTTTCGCGAAGTTCTAGGGAGAACGTTAAGATTTATCAGCTGGAGAACAGGTGGGCAGTTAATTTTATAATCGTGGATCTTAGAAATAAATAAAAGCTTCGCAATGGTTCTCCTTCGTTCAAGAATCGCACAAATGAGAAAAATATGATATGGGACTTTTAATTTGATAAGAAACAAATCTTAAAAATTGATGTCGAATTGTCTGAAATTCAGTATAAATACATTGTCAAGGTGGGCTCCGTATCTGCGTAATTAAGTCGAAAATCGTCGACTTTGAAGTTGTCCTTTGATCGGCTAAATTGCCGGCAATTTTGCGGATTGATTCGAGGCGATCGCGATCCACGCGATCGCGTCACGGCGCGGGTATTCAAATTAGGAACGATAGTCTTGTCGCGTTTATCGGTAGGATCGGATATTCAGGTTCTTCGATGAGCGACACAGATCGGATCCGTTCACGGATCAGACAAGTCGGTCGTCGGACGCCGACAGTTGAGGCGCGTATAATAATCGCGCGGGCGGATCGGGGATCAATCTCGCCGAGATCAATCCAGGGGCGATGAATTTGATTAAACGATGATTAAGAGACGACGAGCGCTCGCCGATCGGATAAGCAGACCGCGAATTTCCATCAATCTACCGCGCTTTAAATCGGACAACTATCGGTGAACTTTCGGGAAAGTTTGCCGGCCGCAAATCTATCGCTCTCGGCGGTTCGATAAATTTAAACTTGCAAATTCAGTGTCGCGATCGAGGAATCGAATTCGTGTCGGTCTCGCCGAACCGCTGGAAATCAGCCATTCGTCAAAATCACCGGAAACTTCTTCGGTGGGCGTGATACGACCACCTTCGCAACCGCACGCGACCAATTTGATCGGGGAAAGCTTCTTGCGCGGTGCGGATCTCACTTATTTGCATTGTTTTCGTTGCAAAAATACGGGCACGAGGCTCGCGGAGAGAATTGAACACGAAAGATTGTGCGAAAGTGTGCAAATAGTAGCTTCAGGGATGAATTAAATACAGCAGAATAATAAAAAATGTATATACAAATAGTAGCTAAAGGGATGGGTTAAATGCGAACGAATAACTAAAAATATGTATATAAATAGTAGCTAAAGGAATGAATTCAATGCTAAAGAATAACCAAAAATATGTATATAAATAGTAGCTTAAGGGATGAATTAAATACAAAAGAATAACTAAAAATATGTATATAAATAGTAGCCAAAGGGATGCATTAAATACGAAAGAATAACTAAAAATATGTATATAAATAGTAGCCAAAGGGATGCATTAAATACGAAAGAATAACTAAAAATATGTATATAAATAGTAGCCAAAGGGATGCATTAAATACGAAAGAATAACTAAAAATATGTATATAAATAGTAGCCAAAGGGATGCATTAAATACGAAAGAATAACTAAAAATATGTATATAAATAGTAGCCAAAGGGATGCATTAAATACGAAAGAATAACTAAAAATATGTATATAAATAGTAGCCAAAGGGATGCATTAAATACGAAAGAATAACTAAAAATATGTATATAAATAGTAGCCAAAGGGATGCATTAAATACGAAAGAATAACTAAAAATATGTATATAAATAGTAGCCAAAGGGATGCATTAAATACGAAAGAATAACTAAAAATATGTATATAAATAGTAGCCAAAGGGATGCATTAAATACGAAAGAATAACTAAAAATATGTATATAAATAGTAGCCAAAGGGATGCATTAAATACGAAAGAATAACTAAAAATATGTATATAAATAGTAGCCAAAGGGATGCATTAAATACGAAAGAATAACTAAAAATATGTATATAAATAGTAGCCAAAGGGATGCATTAAATACGAAAGAATAACTAAAAATATGTATATAAATAGTAGCCAAAGGGATGCATTAAATACGAAAGAATAACTAAAAATATGTATATAAATAGTAGCCAAAGGGATGCATTAAATACGAAAGAATAACTAAAAATATGTATATAAATAGTAGCCAAAGGGATGCATTAAATACGAAAGAATAACTAAAAATATGTATATAAATAGTAGCCAAAGGGATGCATTAAATACGAAAGAATAACTAAAAATATGTATATAAATAGTAGCCAAAGGGATGCATTAAATACGAAAGAATAACTAAAAATATGTATATAAATAGTAGCCAAAGGGATGCATTAAATACGAAAGAATAACTAAAAATATGTATATAAATAGTAGCCAAAGGGATGCATTAAATACGAAAGAATAACTAAAAATATGTATATAAATAGTAGCCAAAGGGATGCATTAAATACGAAAGAATAACTAAAAATATGTATATAAATAGTAGCCAAAGGGATGCATTAAATACGAAAGAATAACTAAAAATATGTATATAAATAGTAGCTTCAGGGATGAATCCAATGAAAAAGAATAACCAAAAATATGTATATAAATAGTAGCTTAAGGGATGAATTAAATACAAAAGAATATTGAAAAAAGCTTCTGCAAAATCTATCTCAAATAATTATAGTTCCACAGTACCAGAATATCTAAGAATATTAGCTGATGCCACCCAATGCTTCGTTAATCACGCCCAGAAGAAGCGTGAAAATTTGCATTCACTAGTGACGCGTAGCAGTGCTGATTATAGTTCCACGTCCAGACGCCAAGCGGCGCCTCTAGTCGCCGACTTCGCATTGTGCGAAGGAATCGCGCGCCTGAAATCGCCCGGCAAACTTCTGGCGACCGATAAAGGTACGCGCATATACATATACATATACATATAATAAGATTCGACGTTGTACCTGCTTACCATCCGAAGAATGAAAGGCTGATGAAACGCGAAATTGTTCGCGGTGTAGGTCGCTGTTGAACTTCGTTCGTCGTTGGTTAGGTCTGCCAGGTGTCGATGAATCAGGAAGTCCGCCAAAAAACGCTCGTGTAAATGTCGCTATCGCCAGGTGACAAATCGTTGAAACGGAAACGGGAAACGGTCACCTGTTGACGCACAGTCTCGCGAGGCACTGTCAGTAGAACCCCCCCACCCCGCGGAAACCGAACACAACGTCGCGCACTGATCCATCGTGATCCGCCAACACACTGCACCGCAGCGTCGCAGTTCGCGCCGAACAGGAAGCTTAGGGGATCCGTGGCGCTACGATCGATCCAGCCTGAAGGAAACAGCGGACATCGATGGGTCGATGCTCGTTTTTATGCTGTCTGTTTCCGGTGACCAGGAACATCCCTCTCGGTTCCAACGATCTCCCGATCACGAGCTACGAAGATCTGTCATCCTGTGTTCTCAGAGTCCCGGTTCTTTCTTCGACGAACCTTAGACCGATGTCCCAGCCAGCAACATGGCAGTCGAGTCGAGGTAACCGTAGTTCGTAGCAATGTAAAACCGTTCAAGTTTCAAGCGTGCCTTGATCCACGTTTCTTCCGTTTGCTTTTGGAATTGGGATGGTTTTCAGTGGATTTTCGGGTCGGTAGTTATTCTCCCGATTTTTAGAATGTTCAATGTAATTGAGTTTTGTGGTTACCTTGCACTTGGTACGTTCTTTGCAGTTTCGTTAGTAGAATAATAATGTAAGTAATGCGCGATATGATTTTAGGCGTGTTTTGTCACACACGAAAGCATTATCGACGCGATATTTTCATCTTACCATTGGAAAATTGGGGAGTCTTTTTAGAATAACCATGTAAAATTGTTAAAAGCTGAAAGATTCTATCGGAATCGGTACATTTAAATCTATCTTGTTGCTTCTCTTGGATAGTGGCTCCCGCGCATGCGCGGTTTTCGTACTAACCACCGAATGTACCATACTATAATTCACAGCGTGCCAATATTTTATATACCGGAAGATTTTCCTGTTCGATATATATTTTAATGATAAATATTATGTATGTGTCGAAACAGATCACTTCGTTTCAAGCTGACCGAACCGATATTCCGTCTAAACGCGCTGCATTTTAAGAGTTAACGCCGAAGAAGGGAGCGTTAAACAATTAATTAATATTTGAGCTCCCATGCGGGTGCTTTCGGTTGCGATCGCGATAAATATTGAACTTCTCGCATCCGCTCGGCTGTGTCGGTCCAGCTGTTTTTATCTATTTGCGGACGATGACGTGAATTGTATCGCAATTCACGCCCCTTTAAATCGGCGTGGATGGTTCTCGTTTAATTTTGATTGATACGGCCGGCGAATTAGCAATCAATTAAAAGTTTTCCATTACACCGCGGAAAGTTGAAAAGTTTCGAAACGAAAATGTCCGATGAAATACATCGTCGTTTCATCAACGATCCGCCACGTGGTCCACGAAATAGAATTTCGTTTAATTTCGGATGCCGCGAAATTGCCTATAAATTTTGATATCTCGCGAGATGAATTTTCGGCGTTTGTCTTTCGCACTTTCGGCGTTTTCGGCGGCGTTTCCGTCTATGAACCGGCAGCCATTTCTGTGGAAACAGAAATTTCGTGCACGCATCGTCGGTCTAATTGCCGTTGCCTGGTCAGTGAATTTTAGCGGATGAATCTTCCTCTAGAGGAGACCGTGTACTACTTTGTTAAACAAGCTTTGACGCGCGGCCGGCGGAGAGAATTAAATCGCTGCGGTGCCGCACGGAATTATACACCGACCGGTTTAAAGTCGCCCAGCCGGTCGATTTTCTAACGAACCAAATTCCCCGCGAGCGCAGATCTATTTTGCTATTCCGGCTGATTTCGCGTGAAGAATCGCACTCGGCGCCTTGTTAGCCGATGATGAATACACGCGATATATATGCACATATATATATTTTCCAAAACTGCATCGCCAGTTTCCGCCCTGTGGCATGGACCTCTATATCGTCTAAGTTTTCGTGTTTCCTTCCGCTGCGCGGGCCTGTTTATGCAAATACCCAACATCGTAGTACCAAGTAACTTAGTTTCCCTATTAAGCATCTTATTGCGGCACGCGTAAGGGCCCTGTTAATTAATCATTATACCGAAACGCTGTCGAGATTTAGTTACGCAAAAACTCTACGACAGAAAGTCGTATATTTACGAAGACTGTAGATCGAAGCTTCAATAATTAGACCGTGGACGTAGATAATAAATAGTAAATAATTCGCAATTGAAACACGGAACATATGCAATCCACGATTTCATCATTTTTAATCGAGCGTCTAGAAGAAAGTACAGTAATGTCTCCCTAATTGACGCTCAGGTTGTCCACAAAAATGGACAATTTGCGAAGAGGAGATACGATTATTCGAGTATCGCGGCTCGTTTTTAGAATCGTTGACAATTGGTAACTATAGAAACGAGTTGCAAGGCTCGAATAATCGTATCTCCTCTTCCCGAAATTGTCCATTTTTTTGGTCACTTTGAGCGTCGATTAGAGAGAGATTACTGTATGTCGAATTTATTCGATGGCAAAATG